GATTAGGTTGGAAAAGATGTCTGCGGTCGTCGAATCTAACCTGTGACACAACACCACCTTGTCAATCAGACGATGGCACCGAGTGCCACGTCCACTCTTCTTAAACACCTCCGGGGGCGGTGACTCCACCACCTCCCTGGGCAGCCCATTCCAGTCTCTAATCACCCTTTCTGTGAAGAAATTCTTCCTAATGTCCAGCCTAAAGCTTCCCTGGTGCAGCTTAAGACTATGTCTTCTTGTCCTGTCCCTTGTTGCCTAGGAGCAGAGCCGACCCCCACCTGGCTCCACCCTCCCGTCAGGGAGTTGCGGAGAGTGAGAAGGTTCCCCCTGAGTCTCCTTTTCTCGAGGCTGAGCCCCCCAGCTCCTTCAGCTGCTCCTGGTGCTCCAGACCCTTCCCCAGCTCTGTTCCCTTCTCTGGACTTGCTCCAGCTCCTCAATGTCCTTCTTGAACTGAGGGGCCCAGAACTGGACACAGGACTCAAGGCATGGCCTCAGCAGTGTCTCCCCAGTGCTCATGTTGGCTGAGCCTGAAGTTGGGGGAACTGTATCTTCCCTGCTTAATACCAAATTATTGGACTTCTTGTGAACACCTACACCTATAAGAATTACTTTCTGGTTTGGTGTTTTGTTTTCTGTGGTTTTTGGGGGTTTTTGGCTTTTTTTTTTTTTTTTTTTTTTTTTTTTGCAAAAAGGGAAAAGGAAAGCAGGTCATGGATGAAAGGCTCAGGCTGGAGAAGAGAAGGCTCAGGGCAGACCTTCTCACTCTCTACAAATGCCTGACAGGAGGTTGTATCCAGGAGGGGGTTGACCTCTTCTCCCAAGGAAAAGGGGCAGGACAAGAGGAAAATCATCAGGGGAGGTTTAGGTTGGATATAAGAAGAAATTTCTTCACTGAAAGGATGGTCAGGCATTGGAAAAGGCTGCCCAGGGGAAGCGGTGGAGTTACCATCCCTGGAAGGATTTAAAAGATGTGTAAATGTGGTGCTTAGAGACTTGGTGGTCTACTTGGCTTTGCCTGGTTAATGGTTGGACTCGATCTTAGAGTCCTTTTTCAATCTTAATGGTTCAATGCTTCTATAATTCTATGAAAGGACTCACTCCACAAAGAGCAAGAAAGGGCACAACAGAGCTCCGCTCCCAAAGGGATGCCATTCCCATGGTGTCCCTCCCTGACAGCTGTTCAGGAAAACAGCCTCTGCCCTCCCTGCGTGGCCTTGCCTGCCCCTGGAGACCCCCCAGTTTTCCCTGTAAACACAGGGCATCCAGCCTAGGCTTTGTTCCTCACCAAGATTAATTGTGACACAAAGTACCTCCTGACCTTTAAAAGGGAAGAAATAGGGCAAATGTTAAGTCCCTATATTCTAGAGGCAATTCTTACACGAGGTGAAAGGTTGTCAGCTTTTCTTAAAAGGGAAAGTTCAAGTTCATCCCACTGTTTTGTAGATAGCCACAGCTCAGGAAAGCCAAATGGTTTTTCTTCTCAGCACATGTAGGTAGTTCAGGGTTTTCCTTTTTCCTCGTGTTGATTCCACAAGCTATCCCTTTCCAAAATTTTTTCATTGCAACCTTTAATTTATTATCATTGCAACACACTGACAGACCTATGTCCCTTGTCATAAAAAGATTTCCATCTGATAAAAGGCTTTAAACACATCTCCGTCTCTACTATCACATTCCAATGTGAACTCCTACGCCCAAAACATTTCTAAAATTGCCAGAGGCACAAGCCTTCCTTAGATAAAACCACTAGATTTTCAGCATCCTCTTGCAATCTGTGACACAGAGCCAATCTTACACAGATCAAAAAAGCCAATCTACGGAACTGGCTACACACACAAAGCCCATCTGGGCACCCACAAGAGTGGGCAGAATGATATCAGAAAATACTGTTTCCCATAAAATCCCCCCAAGTTAAAGAACACTGGGCTGCATCATCTTTTCCAAATAAGCATTCCCTTAAAATAATTCATTTTGCTATAGCATTTGCAATATTTTCTTTGACGTTTAACCAAATAACCCCCAAATTCATAATAAATTTGGGACTTCCATCAGCCTCCTTCCTCCACTTTATGTCCCTCATCCAGGAAAGATGATAGAGCATCTAATCACACCAACCTTAAGAACAGTACATAATACTTTATTAAAAACATGTACGTATTACTCCCGGTCTCTCAGGTAAAATATTAAACCTGTTCAAAAGACATATTTTTTTTTAGTCCCTAAATGCTGCAAATTGGAGGGAATTAACTTGTTGCAGGGTCTTGTAGTAAAGCAAAGGGTAAGAGGAACCAGCACTGAGGATCTAAGCTGGGATTAAATGTGCAAGAGTACAGATGTGCTTTCTTTCTGCAGCCCTGAATATACTTTAAACTCAAAGAAAGACATTAATTAAAAGTGTAGCATGCTGCCAAGAAGAAATATATTTGCTGTGTGTGGATTAATTTATAAAGCAGATGTAATCCTAGTAAATATATAAGAAATAAAAATCCATTTAAATAAAATCTCTTTTGAATTTTGCCAAGGAAGGTGACTCTAGAAAACAGTGGGGACCAAATCACACAGTGCCTGGTGATGGCAGCCAGCCAAATTCAGAGACAAATCTACATGAAAGAAGCCTGAATCAGTAGAATTTATACCTTTATTCTCCATACCTTGACGTGCAATTGAAAACAACATCAACTGAGATTTTAATTGGTTCAAGATGAATTTAGCAGCCAACACTGAGTTACAAGGAGTGTGAAAATTAGAGTAATTCTGAAGGTGTCTAAATTGGTAACAAATATGAAATTAAAGACACAAATCATACTTAAGTTAAGATACTTAAATGCTTTTAAACTCTCTTCTAACAGTGAGCATAGTGATTTATTAGTGCCTTTTATTCTGTTTGAATCTGACCCTTTAACTGGACTTTGAAACATTCACCAATGAACATATTCCAGCAGCTTCCTTTATTCCAGTTATTCCCTTCAAAAGCAGTTCATGGAGCTTCAGCAAAGGAAGTGTTAGAGCCAAGCTTAACAGATCGTAAGTGCCCCACATCAGAATAAAACATAATAGAAACGATTTGTTAGAGCAGCACAGATTTTAGTGGAAGTTTTCCAGACATGTAAGTGCTACAAATGATCCGGTTCCTAACCGATTATTTTGGATGTTTCTTGAGGGAAGATGAGTCCTTGAGAAATATTGCAGAGGGAGTTTGAAGCCTGGGAGTTTTTTTGAAGTGAACAGGGCAAAGAGAGAATAAAAAGATTCATTTCAGGTGAGTCCTCAGTGGCCCACCACCTGTACCTCACACACCAAGGGTAAGGACTTTCTTGTTTGGGGGAAAGGGTTGCTCTTTGCTTGCAGGAGTGCTGGGCTGAAATTGCTAGTCTGACTTCCAAAATGGAATATGGACAAAGATTCCTCCCAGAGAAAAAGTGGCCAGGACAGAAAGCTCTTGCTGCCCATGGAGTGTCCAGGCTGGCCCAACACCTGTATTCTAGAATATATAACTTATTCTTTATTATTATGTGAGATACCAAAGGAAAGAAAAACATTTCATCACGTTCTTATAAACCTTGAAAATAAATTTCTGTATCTAATTGCCTTTCTTAATTAGAGAAATGGCTACTGTTGTAACATGGTCTGTACTGGACCCTGCTAAGGATGTACTTTTGCCCAGACCCCTTGCTCTAGATGTTCCAGCTAAACCAAAGAAAACAAGAGATAAGATCATCAAAGTCAAAAATCAGCTGTTATGGCAGTTGACACTCTGCGGGATTTAGCACTGGAACTGAATCTCTGTGGGATCTCTGATACAGAACAGTGTATTTAATGAATGGTGCTGTTGCTGAACTTCCCTGGGCAAGTTGCAATTGGTTACTGATGCTGCAAGATGTAGTCTAAGGATTTTTATCTTTTGAAAATACAGGTTGAATTTTAGGGATAAATTGCAGTATTCTGAAACTGGAAAGTTGATAAAATAGTGTTTCTTCCTACAAGAGATTTGAAATAGTTCACTTAGGAAAAACAGACTTTAAAAATCATAAAGCTCGAAGCCTGCTCAGCATACCTGATTCCTCATCTCAACTGATCATCAGGAACTGGACTCTCTCTTATTTTAGGGTCTCATCTGTGTACACTGGATTAAGGCTTCGTAACTTAGAAAAGTAACATTATAAGCTCACATTTCTGGAAAGGTTTCCTTAGCAGATGGGTTTAAAAACAAAACTTTGTTGCCATAACCAATGAATGCAGAGCAGTGCTATAGAGCAAAGGTTATTTCTGTTGCTAGCTTTGCTACACTCTCTAATAACTTACATCCAGATCAGTGCTGGCAACGAGAATTCCAGGTTAACACTTGTTTCATTTTTCAGGCTTTGCATTTCAAGGATGGTGAGTTTTTATTGAAAACTCTGAAATGGCTGTAAGTAACAGCCTCAGAAAAGAGGTGATAGAATCTAGGCAGAGCAGAAGGAGAGATCCTGAACTTCAAATCTGCCTGGCCTTGGTTCCCAGCAGGTATCAGCCATTTGCAATCTTGTTTCAGTGGGACCAGACTGAAAAGGACCCACTGCTGGTT